TTCAATGATTTATTACCGCCACTGCTCGATGCTGAGTTCGAGCAGGCAAAAACGACGTCGACAACAGTAGCAGCAACAAGACCAACAACAGCAACAACGACTACAACCTCAACTACTACCACGACTACTACGACGCCAGCGCCAACAACGACCCAAGCTCCGACGACGACCACAACCCCCACCAGCACAACCACCAGAATCACTACGACCACCGAGGCAACAACTAGTACAACCACCTCAGTAAGAGCGCCATTAACAGCGGCGCCACCGAAACCAACTAAAGCTGCAACAGCACAACAACTAAAGAAGTCACAATTCCAATTGGAACAGCAAAAGCAACAGCAGCAAAATCAACAACAAAAACAACAGTCCTTGACATTACCAACGTTAGATTTAAATCCAGAAGTGCCACCACCATTGCCTGATGCAGAAGCACCGGTAGCGCCGGTCAAGGTGCCAGAGTTTAAACAAGCCGCTTCCACGCAGCATTTGCAACATGTGCAGGCAGCGCAAACACAATTTCATACAATACAACAACACTTACAGCCACAAAAGCAACAACAACAGAAGCAACAGTTTGCCAAGCAATTTCTGCAACAACCACAAATACAGCATAAGTTGCAGCCACAAGCTGCTGCAACTATCAACAAAGTGGCACATACACCGCAGCAGGCACCACAAGTACGCCAGCAGCAGCAGCAAGTAAATATCGAACAACTACAACAATATCTTCAATACGTTTATCATCCGACGACACGTCGGCCATCACGCGGCATGTTGCCCACACTGACGCCATTTCCGCGGCATTTGAAGTGAAGTGAAGTGAAGTGAAGTAAAGTGCCGTGTGGTGAATAAAACTTTGCGATGGCTTGCCCACCACCATCACACTTCAAGAAGACTTAACTTATTCTCGCGATAACTTAAACCCACTCAACTCATTTTCAGTGATTAACTAGTTAGTTTTATGGAAAATAATATGAAACGAAAAGGCAACGAAGCGAAATATGGAATCTTAATGCCGGCAAGTTTATAAATAAATATTTTTTATTCACATACTACATACAAAACATTCAAATATAAGTTAAATAAAAAAAAAAATAATTAGCTGGTTTTTAATATAGTGTTTTAAATAAATTTATTCGGAATGAATGTACCCGTTGATTGCCGATTACCATAAACAAAAAAATAAATAAAAATGTTCGCATAAAGTGAATGTAAATATTATCTAGTATCGTATTAGTGATTGTTGTAGAGTATGTTTAGCAGACATATTAATCACTTTTAATCGCATTAAATTTTGATTCACGTATCATCAGTGCGTATACAATCACATAACCATTTTGTATGATCAATGACATTTTTGGCAGAAAATAAACATGAAACATAAATAATTGCCGTTTTAATTTCAGTTCAGAACACGATTTCGGAAAGTTGTTTGTAAATTGTTTCAGCGCTTCCGCTATAATTAATATCTTTCATGATAGGGAATTGTAGAAGAAAATGCACAACAGCGTAAGCAAATGAAAAAATTATCAAAAGTCAACGAGAATTATGAGTTGAGCTCGCATTTGTGTGCAAAAAAATAAGCCTAAAAATATGTGTCATCATAACTATAAGCAAAATACAGTGAGCGTTAGAAATATGAATACCCCGACGTTTTGACGATTGTATATATTTATATTTTCCAAATCAAATATTTCTTATTTTTTTATAAAAATAAAAATTTTTTAGTATGCAGTTTTTGACCACATTTTCGCATTTTCTTTCATACAACGCATGAACAAAATCTATTTTTTATATTGAAGAAAATGCCCAACACCCGTGATTAAAAAAAATTGTCAAAACTCAGCGGTAATTTTTAGCACTCTAAAATTTCAATTCTTTATTATATTAAAATTTACTGGACACGGAATTAAAAAATTTTAAATTTTGTTGAAAATATTTTCGTATTTATAGCGTTTTCTCGAGTACTATATGAAATTTAAAAAAATTGATTCTTGTGGTTTTTGCTGTAGAACAAACTACAGTGAAGGCGCCCATAAGCGGACACTGATGGTCACCTACTTTTTTTCCGCCTATGTAAGATGTTCGCTTATAGGAATTTCGTAAAAAATAATATTAAAATTCAAATTAAAAAATTTTAAATTGCGGTTTTCAAAATTAAAATAATATTTATTCTTTAATAGACAGAAAAAGGATGAATTAAAAATAATTTAAAATTTATGGCGTTTTCTTTCCTACCGATAAATCTCATTGCCCGCTTCACTCAAGCAGCATGAAGAGGGCAACGAAAAGGCAAAATTTTTTCGAGAAAAGAAAATATTTTTGAATATGCACTATGTTCTTGTGTACATACACATATGTACAAGCGCAAGAGTCAGCATCTGACAGAAAAAAAAAACAAAATTGAGCGCTTGTTAGTGCTTCGCGTCCGCTTATGGCATATTGTTTTCTCATAACTGGACTTTTTTGAGTGTCCGCGTCCGTTTATCGGAAAGTCCGTGTATGAGAAACAATTTTGTATGAAAAAAAAGTCAAAAATTGTTCATTCCCAAGAATGTGTCCGCTTATAGGAGATGTCCGCTTATTTAAGCGTCCATCTATGAGAGCTTTAACTGTATGTGTATTAAAAAAAAAAAAGTAAAATTTGGTATGGAAAATGTAAAAAAATAAAATCGTCAAAACAGCAAGGTATTCATATTTGTGACGCTGACTGTATATACACGTATATACACTTTGCTTATAGTTATGAACGTACATATTTTTAGGATCTTTTTTAACATAACAGTCCGAGCTCTAATTACACAGTTCGACAAATTTTGATTTTGTTTTTTTAAACTGATATATCTCGAGAAACATAAATCGAATTGCAAAAAATGAAAATGAATTTTAAAGTAGAAGAGTACTACCAAATGGTGCCCTAAGTAGAAATGAGCAAAAATAAAATTCTTGTCTTCATAATATAACCTCAAACTTTTTGGGGTTAGAATATCTCAAAATTCTGAGGCCAGAGGATTCAGCATCCAAAAATCTACAGGAAACAGGTGTGTTATGAGTGACCTCAAAATTGCACTTTGTTATACTGCAATTGAATAAGGTAAAAAAAAAACTGCGTATTCAACCCGTTTCTAAAAATTCTAAATAAAAAATGTTTACTTTTTATTACAATTTTTAAAATCTGGCTGGATTTTGCACACAAAGTTTTAAACTTTGGTTAGTATGTTTTTAATATTTTTATTGGGCTTTGTACTACGACTGTTTATTGGGAAAAATTGAAAAAGCAATTATTCAATGAACTACATATATTTTTATCAAAAATTATTTAAGCTCTAAAAATTACGTTAGTAATGTTGGCTTCCAAGTTTGAACCGTAGCTGGCTTATCTACGATGACTTTTGACTTTATATAACCCCAAAGAAAAAAATTCTGTGGCGTGATATTACAAGATAACTTGCTGAAAACAAATATTGCCGTCATCACGGGCTTTAGAATATATCTATATATACATAGGTATGTATCTAAAAGTATGTAGTTCATAGATATGTATGCATCTTCGTAAAAAATTTCCAAACTGGATTGGTTAAATTTCTGCAGTGGTAGCTTTGGGGTGCATTTTTTGTTAAATAAATAAGCTTAATATAAATGTATAGATTTATGTGCTTGCATATGCGCGTATATACATAAGTATAATAATTTATGCAGATGCTTATTATTCGCATTGAAATTATAAATATTTTGAAAATAAAAATAATTGACTTTTAAATAATAACGCGAAGTCAAATGTATATGCATACCTATGCTGTAATTTTACACATATATACATATATGTAGATGCGTGGAAGCAAACAATTAAATTTAATACGCAATTAATGCAACTGCAATGTGCAGAAAATTGATATTTCCGCAAGTATTTCGCATATCCTTCCTTCCGCCTTTGACCTCTGTGTCTGCAGCAGCTGGTCAATGAAGCCATACTTGCTGCCAATGCTTCTGATGACTGCCATTTTTGCTACAATATATATATATATATATACATACATATGCATGCACTTATGTAAATACAAGACATATATACATACATAATGACAATTTAATTTTTAAAAAGCAAATATATGCACGAAAATTCCTATAAAGATGTTGCCTTGGCTATATCGCACAGTGGTGGCATGTTGAAACTGCGTAAATTGAGATATCTGCAATTAGATTTTATTTTCTAAAACTAAATTAAATAAAAAGCAATATTTTTTTTTAAACTAGAAAAAGCAAATAATTAAAAAAATACAATAATTAAATTTAAAAAGAAAAGAAAACTAAAATAACATATTTTATATAATATCTAAGTTGCTAAAAATTAAATTAAATACAAATAATACTAAAAACCACTAAAGTCTAAAAATTTAATTTTAAAACGAAATAAACTAAAATTCAATGAGTTTCTAAAAATTAAATTTAATATAAAATGTATATTTTTAATTTTTAAACACCTAAAAGTAAACTGACTAATACAAGTTTCAAAATTTCACAAAAAATCTATTAATTTTTAGACAATAAAAGTTAAAAATTAAAATTCAAGAAGTTAAATGAAATTTAAAAAAAATATATATTTTTCTTTCTAAAACAATAAAATCTGAAAACAAGACAAGTTAAATTAAATTAAAAAATAACAAACAAAAATAGAAACAAGTTTATAAAAATTAAAAAAAAAAATAAATAAAAGAATATACATTTTTATTTTTAAAACAAAATCTAAAAATTTGAAGAAACTTTAAAATGTTAAAACAAAAATAAAATTTATATAGATTTTTCTATTTAAAACAAACAAAAATATAAGTTTCTAAAATTTTAATGAATTTAAAAAACTTATTTTTTCTTTTTAACAATAAAATCTAAAAATTAGGTTAAAAAAAATTAATTCAAAAAAGAATCAAATACATAAAATCCTTTTTTAAAAAATTTAAAAATTAACTAAATTAAACAAGCAAAAATAACATAATGTAAAAAATCTGAAAAAAGCATAAAACAAGTTTCGAAAAATTATAAAATATATATCCTCTTATTAAACATTAAAATAAATAAAAAAAATATGAAAATAAAAATGAATTAATTAGTTTCTAAAATTTAAATAAATTTAAAAAATATGTTTTTTTTTTAATATATATTTTTCATTTGATAACAATAAGATCTAGTAATTAAAAGAAAACTTAATTATAAAATAAGACTAAATACATAAAATAGATTTTTAAACACTAAAAACTATCTATTTTTCTTTTAAAGCAATAAAATCTAAAAGTTATTAAAAAAAACTAAATAATAAAAATAAAGATATTCAATTAAATAATGAAAAATAATAATCAATCTCTACTTAAATAGCCCATCTGAAATTGGCCTATCTATTTACTAAATCCCGAAACGAGAAAAAAAGAGTTTTTAAAATTTTTTCCAACAATATTATAACGCCTAACTATAAAGCCAGATGGAGTTGAAGTTGAAGTTTATAAATTTATGAAACCTTGAAGAGGGTTAAAGATTAAAGAATTTTTTTAAAAAAGAAAAATAATTGTTTTTACCTTAGGTATAGTATTTGTGTGTTTATGTATCTGTATTTATCGAACCTTTTTTCACTATTTAAATATATATTTTTTGCATAATCATTGCATTTTTGCCACTGTTAGTCTTTTGTCTGCATCATCGTTGATGAGTTAATGAGCAGTAAATGCAGAGAAAATGCCATGAAAATAATTCATAAGGTACATACATACACACATATGTATATATGTGTAATCTGCTAGGTGAGTGGGTACCATGACAATACAAATTTTTTTTTTCATATATCATGACTTCTTTCAATGCCGTGATTGTACACGTTGGAAGAAATTTTTTGTTAATATAATAACGTCGATGCCTTTACAAAACCGCCCATTGACCAGATGCAGAACAATCTATCTTACAGCACTAAAATTTTACAGGAGGGCGAAAATATGTATATTCATTAAAGGCGTTGATTTGATAGGCGGTATGTTATATTTATTTTAGAAATCTCTTGCTTGTATAAAGATTTAACAAATTTTATGCATCAAGCTTGATGCATGGGTTACCAAATAAATTGTGTGCCACTATTACGATTTAGGTGTTTTTCCCACTCGCCAAAAGGCGGTTTTACAAA